GTAATAAGAAATTCTTTTTGTAATTGTGAATGTTGACTAATAATGATATTACAATTGCCAGACTTGAAATGACCCTTAGTATGGTCGAAACGTCGAATTAAATAGCGTATCAATAAAATGTTTGGTGATAACTGGCCTAATTTATGTAAAATATAAAACCTTAAGACACCAAAATTAGGATAAATGAACAGAAGATGTATAAATAATTTATTAATGTAAAATATAAAACCTTAAGACACCAAAATTAGGATAAATGAACAGAAGATGTATAAATAATTTATTAATGTAAAATATAAAACCTTAAGACACCAAAATTAGGATAAATGAACAGAAGATGTATAAATAATTTATTAATGTAAAATATAAAACCTTAAGACACCAAAATTAGGATAAATGAACAGAAGATATATAAATAATTTATTTTCTTTAAATCATTTTTTTTTTCTGGTGTGATCCCGTTGCTCATCTTCTGTCAATTATATATCTTTAATATATGTATATATTTTGTATGCTTTAGCTGTTTGGGTTTTAACATAAGTCAATCTTTTTTATTTACGCAATTTTGATATTTTCTTCTTTTTTTTTATTTGGGAATGATTACTTCCAATTAACAACAATTGAATATATTTGTTGTATTATCAATATTGCATGTTAACAAGTTTACGTTTTGGGATATTTACTCCCATCTTCAGAACCACAATCCCAATGATCATGTGGATACATGGCTAAAAGAATTTTTTGATTTAAAATATAGTGCATGTTACAATATATATTGTAATTGTACGTACAAAGAATATCATACAACTTCCCAGAAAAAAAAAAAGTTGATATTTTTTTCTTTTCTGAAGGTTTTGCTTTTTCTTTCTATACATGTAATTCTTTTTTTTCTTTTTTATCATTTCTTCCAGTAAAATTATAAGTATAGTTTAGTTTATAAATATAGAGAAGATTTTATTTTATTTTTTACTAATTTACATACTATTAGTTAAGTTGTCTTATATTTTGTCTTATGTATACTTTATATATTGTGTTACATATTGTTTGAGTCTTTATTAAGTTAGTTTTTGGCCAGATATATATCTTTTCTTTTGTAACTGTTCATTATTGTTATTCTAAGGAGACATCTTCCCAGAATAAAGTTTTCGATTTCTATTTGTATATTTCTATTTTAATCCATATCTTAAATAAAACTCGTTATCATGAGAAGGAGTTAACCGGGGGGTGCGGTCAAATAAATACTAAATTAAACAGATAGTAATTATTTAATTTTTGCCGACGTTTCGAACCACTTTGATAAAACACATTTAATAAAATATATGAATATAAGTAGACATAAAATAAGAAGAAATTTTCAGATACAGAAATAAAAAGATGACATCAGAGATATAGTGGGTGACAATGTAGTTAAAATATCAAGTATTATATACGTAAAAGATACAAACAAATGGAAAATAAGTATGAAAAAAATTGAAAATAAAGGAGAATATAGCATGTAAGTTAAAAGTAAACAGATTGCGATAAAAGATAAGGAATAAGTGTATAACAAACTAATAGAGATTATATTTTATAACTGTGGGTTAATAGATAAAGAAAATTAATGTTAACGAATAAATAGATTGAAAATTGAATAAGTATTGTTATAGTAAAGTTAAAATAAGAATAAGATAACATAATAATAAGATATCAGTGGATAACAAGCTAGTGGAGGTTACATTTGATTGTAGGTAAATAGATAACGAGGCTAAGGTTAAGAAGTAAATAAATTGAAAGATTAATAGGGTAACATTAGTGTAATATCGTTAGGATAGATTATTAAGTATAAATAACTCTATAAGAAAATAATAATTTTAAAAAGAGAACTTTAGAATGTAAGTATAGATAGATAGATAGAAAAAAAAACTTTATTCTGGGACTAAGTCCCTTCAGAATAACAATAATGTACAAAATAATAGAATATTACTGGCCTGTACGTTTGAAACAATAAATAAAATTGATAAAATAAAATAAAAAGTAAAGAAAACCTTAGGTGCACAAGCTATATACAATAAAGATAAAACTATGTACATATAATAATATAAGTATAAATGTAAAACAAGGTTATGATGATAAAAAAAATAAAACTCGTTATCATTTGCTTTTGGACACTATTTTTTTCCCTTTTCATCTCTCTAAAACAGCGTTGCCTCTCTCACGATGTTTTTACTTCTTTCGTATGGTTTAAAGCACACAATTTATTTTTTATTTTTTTGTCTTAAAACAGAATATTTTGATTTTACAGACCAAAAGTTTTGTAATATACAACTTACAAGACTCCAGTTAGCAAATTAATTCGCCACGATTGTTCGATAAGCCAGGAATAACATCGTCCGGAGGGACTTGCTAAATGTTCCTGAAGGCCACATGGTAGTTGAAGAAGATCCATCCGCCGACAAAAGATAGCTTACCCTCCCGAAGGGTAGGAGTGAAAGTGCCTTATCCACAGCTGGTGGGGGCACAAGAGTATAAAACAGTCACCCTTACTCACTGTCATCAGTTCGTGCACTATCATCCCAACGGATACACAGCTCTTCCTCTCCGGCATCCCAGAAGGCAAGTACATCTCACGTTAACTACCACCCAAGGGAAGAACTCTACCGTATACCCAACTCTAAACTCGCGGAAGAACGGTTGAAATTGATATAAATCAAACCGAATTTTTTATAAACTACTTCAAACTCCGATTTTAATTATTCTGAATTTACCTTTTAAAAAATTTAAATATCTTTGAAATTTATACTTAGAAAAAAAAGTGATTTTATCTATTTTATTGTATCAAACCTTAAACTTGTGCAAAAACGTTTAAAATTGTTATGAATCAAAATCTATATAAACTATTACAAACAAAATTTATGTTTTACCTTTGAAGAAATTTTAATATATTTAAAGGGTATATTTTTTAAAAATAAATGAAAATTTCTGTACTTTTTGAGTTTGGGAAAAATGTGTATTTCAAAGGCTTTAAAGGAGAATTATTTTAGCCAAGTTTCATCAAAATTGTTACAGTTGTAACATTTCGAATTTCTTTCCACCAAACAAGTCTACGATATAGCAAACTTTAAACTCGTGGAAGAACTGTTAAAATTTATATAAATCAAATCAAATTTATTATAGACTATTTTAAACAAAATATTTTTACTAAATACTAATCCGATTTCAATTATTCTGACTATACCTCTTAAGAAATTTAAATAGCTTTTAAATGTCTACTTTCAAAAATCACCGAAAACTGTGTATTTTTTAAGTTATTTACAAATTAAATTCTAGATACCTAAAAAAAAAATATTCCACCTTATATTCGTGGAAGTATGTTATTTCATTTATATATATAAATTTAAAGAATTTCAATACTTTGCCTAAGTTTCATCAAAATTTTTACAACTATTCTGACGTACGATGTAACAAACTTTAAAGGAGAAATCCTTAGAATTGTTATAAATCAAAATAAAGTTCATATAAACTATTTTAAATAATATGTTCACAGTCATAAATATTTACTAATACTGATTTGATGTCAATTATTCTTATTTTACCTTTTAAGAAATTTAAATATCTTTGAAATGTTTTATTCTAAAATTAATAAAAAGGGTGTAATTTTTTTGTTATTTGCAATATGAAATTCTATCGATATTAAAAAAAAAAAAATTCCAGCTTATTTTCAGGGTATTGTCTTATTTTATCTATACTAGTTTAAAGGGCTTTAAGTAGAATATTTTAGCCAAGTTTTAAACTTCCAGGAAAATAGTTAGAGTTGTTGTAAATCAAATCAAAGTCTATATAAACTATTTTAAACTAAATAAACCAAAAATGTGTATTCACAATTGTATGTATAACTTTGACAATACGAGCACTGCACCGATTTCAATGATTCTTATTTGCCTTTTTAAGAAATTACTTGCAAATAAAATTCTGCAAACATCGAAAAAAAAATTATCCAGCTTCTTTTCGGGGGAGTATGTTATTTTATGTACAAAATAAATTTAAAGGGTTTTAAGCCATTTCGGTACTACAGTCTACAGAACTTAAAGTTTTCGCACTTGTTACGCATCACCTATTACATGTGTTCTCCAATTCCGTAGTTATTTGGAACCGAAGCTCTGTAAAACAAACAGCATCGGTCCACCCGTTAAGAAACGGTTCAGACGTATAGTTTCCTTATTTAAAAGCGAAAAAAAATTGTTAAAACGATTCTAAAATACTTTTTCATTTCTTTACTTTAAAATTTGTTAACTCTATGGAAAATTTAGTAATATTTACAATAAGCTAATAATTTGTAATATTCAGAGAGATGTTTTGTTTACGAGTTATTTTAGAGACTAAAGAAAATTGAATGAGTTTCCATGGAGACCAGATTATAATACACAACAAATACTTTTAGAAACATGTTCAAAGTTTATAATTTATCATAAAATCCATACAACAATTTTGGAGCTACATGGTATACAAAAAACCTTTATACTCACAAAATCTGTTCACAGACAGTCAAATGGACCAAAATGTCTTTCTGGGTCTCCGAAAACTGGGAAGTGTAACGATCTGTTCAAAAATTGCACATAGAAAATTTGTTATAGAATATTTTCCTAAACTAGTTGCAATTTTATTTTTCGGTGGAAATGTTTCGAGTTAGTAGTTCACTCTAAATCATTTTTGAGAAAAGCTTATAACAACGCATATATTTTTTCAAAGTTAATGTAACTCAAATCTATTCTACTGAACTTATCAGAAAAATAATACAAATAAAAACTCAGTCTTCGTTCGTTAATACGCGTTCAATTATATCACAAGTTAAATTAAATTACTTTCAAGTTCACCATATATCTGTTCATTATTTAGCGTTATTTAAATTAAAATAAATACATTAAAATAATTTTGTCTTTGATTTAAATTTAACAAACATAACGTGAAAAGTTCAAGCCAACATAAAGAAGTATTGGCAATAATCATTTAATTATATCCGTGTCACGATGAAAGATCACGCTGAGGTAACCCGAAAAATAGCCAGAGGCAATCCTGTTTATTCCGTCTTCCCGAAGGAAATGGGTGAAATATACGTTACCAATCTCTTCATTTTTTTTTAATATATAATAAAATATTTATAATAATCACCTGTATATAGATGTAACTTGAATAATATTTGTTCGATGTTCTAAGGTAAGGGATTTGTCATGTACACTTTATTTACTAACCTCTTCTAACTATAATGACGGGATTATTTCCAAGGATCCGCTAGATAAAAGCAATCCCCTCTTAGACGGAATCGAACCTGTATTGGATTCTGATCCCGAGCTGGCAATAGTGTAGCTTCAACACGAAATCACGACTTCTTAAATAAATTATTTTTCAACATAAAACATAATATCTTTATTACTTTATATTTTATTTTAACAATTTAAAAATAATTTTAAATATAACTATAATATTTGTTTAAAATTTGAAAATAATACAAATATTAGTTACTCAAATAATAACTAATTTCTCGAAATATGGAGAGAAAATATGTTTAAAATAAACAAACTCTTTTGACAATCAGTAACGATTCGGTCGGGAACGGCGCGTAGAAACTAACCTGTACGACATATGGGACTTCAACACAGAAGGCGTTCTCACGTTTTGTTTTAAAATGGGTTGTATAAGAAATGATGGTAAACAATTCAGATAGATAAATTGCTAAATACGTTATTACAAAAGCTAATTTTGATTTCAAAAATTAAAAAACGTTACATTTTGTCACTTCAAAGGTCATTATAAATAGTGCTACAGGAGTAGTTTCATAATAATGATTAAAAAATAATGGTATATCTGCAATTGTATGTAATTCGATTTCTAGCCGAGACTGAATATTCGGCACCTTGAACAAACTGTCTTACGAAAAGAACCAAAATCCACATAATTTTATTATTAAATTCATAAAATTACAAAACCAACATAGCATGCTTAGTCAGATTAACATTTTTGCTCTTAATTCCCCTTCATGTAATTAGCACAATTTACTTAACTTTTGTTTTAAAAATCATTAAATTTTCGACAATTTCTGCCAAGTTGTGATTATGTTAGGTGTATCTTTATTAACAAGAAAATATTATCCTCAACATATACCAGTTACAAAGTGTATTTTCACTTTAGTTTACCTATTGAAAACTGTTCAGAACTAAAGTTTCTGGATGTAACAAATATCGGATTTTGCGTTTAGTCTGAAGTAAATATTTACATTATACAATTAATTCAAGACTTAAACCAATGAAATATACCGTAAATTAATTTAAAAATAGAGAATAAAGAAACTCATGAACTGTTTCGTAAGATACATCTTTGGTATCCCCAAGTGTTCCCATGTTACATTCTGGTACACCGAGTTGAAGTGGCTTTATCTACTTCCCGACGACAATTCCTCCTTGGTGTTTTCCTTTTCCAATTCTTCAGAACCAAAAACCCTCCCTACATCCTGGAACTCCTTACTCTACGTTCCTCTGTCCACTCTCTCAATACCAGGTCTCAAACTATAGATTTATATATCCCATAAAATTGCTTTCTTTTGCAAATCCATTCGTACTACTTCCTTTTGGAATTCTCTACCTAATTCCATACGTCAATTCTCGTCCACAAATTCCTTCAAACAATTCCTGTTCCAGCACCTACTCCATAATCGAACTTCCGAAAACATATAAAATTTACTTGAATCTGTACTGTTTAATTCAATCAACTGTACTATTGCAATAACAATCAACAGTTAATTAGGCATCATTTTGTATTCATCCAGATTAATGTTCTTAATTATGTAACTCTTTTATTATTCTTAGGGGATTGTAATCCAAAAATATTTATTTTCTTTCATTTTCAGAAGCGTATACAGATATTTAAGATATCTTCAAAATTTTCTCTATAGTTCGTTTTCGCAGAATTCATTTTACTTTAGAATATTCGAGAAAGTTTTCAAATCCAGACTAAACTGTATTTCGAATTATCATAGTAAATTGTTTTATTACAAGAGAAATATAAATAAATTCAATAGCTATAAACCCAATATATAATAATATTGGTCTTATCCGTTTAAATTACTGTCATCTTCAATTTCAACTATAATAATACAAACTATACTAATTCTTTGTAGGATTATAGCTGTCATAAAACAAATATAAAATAAATTTTAATTGTAAATTATAGATGAACTATTAGTTAACATTCAAAAAGGAGAATCTTGAAGCACCATCTTTCTTATTAAAATAGAACAGAAGTTAACTTTCAAATCATTCTGCTCCAATAAAATATCTAAAACTAGTTCAGAACTAATATCGAAGGAAACAGAAGCGTATTAATCTACAAAAAGTTCTGATCTCAAATTTAAAACAGGTTCCAGAAAAGTTTTTATATTAAAACTTTGAAATTTCCAGTTTTTGAAAAGTTTATATTTCTGTTCAAGATGTGTACTTTACTTTTTGAAGTTTGTATAAAATATCTAAATATGTATATATATTGCTAAAAGTTTATGGTTTAGAACGTTACTGTTTTTTGTTTTGTATTCAGGATATTTACAACTACATTAATATAAAGATACATCTAGTAAATATGAACAACTTAATATGATATGAAAACACTTGTTGAGAAACTAGCCATTGGTAGCACTCTAATAATAATACATTAGGAGATCACGGAGCCCTCTTCTTTTCCGATACCTCAAAGGATTATCAAGAATCGAAGAGGAAGCAAGGTTAGAAACGAGATGGTTCTGGAGTTTATTATGGAAGGATAGATATCTGGAATGGGTCAAATCGGAAACATAAGGTCTTTTTGGATGATTTTATTAGTAACAAAGCAAGGAGCGTTGAGAATTTTACGAAAGATTTTGGATTGTAAAAATTGGTTGAAGGAAGAAATTCGTTGGCTTAGTGGAGCCCCATAGTTCAATTTCCTATGTCCAAAAATTCCTTATTGTAGTCACATATATGTGTCTTTTGTAATTAACTGAGATTTTAGAGATTTTGTCAAGTAAATGCTGAAGTAGTCGGAAACGTCGAGCGGTTTCTTGTCGTTTCAGTCTTATATGAGGATTCCAAGTGTGTCGTTTGTCCAGGTGGAGTCCTAAATGACTCCACTTAGGATGTCGAATGTTATTGTTAGTTTTAAAATTTTGAAAATCTAAAATATGATTACAACTGATAACTCATTAGAAGATCCAGAGGTGTATTATTTTCAAAAATTTGATGGTATTCATCAAATAAGCCTATATATAATATCTAATTTTTCTAAAACAGCTGATTTGTAGTAAAGAGGTTATTCACACCACTATATAGGATCATAAAGTAGTATAAATATAGTCTCAAACTAAAAAAACAATATTGTGTATTCCATGTAGATGATATTTTAAGTTATATATCCGTTGTTTAGAGTATTCCTCTGTTTTAATACAATACTTATCGTACCATAGTAAATGCTAAATATCACTTTATTTAACATAAAATAAAAATATATATTTTACTGAATGTTTTCAGGTGAAGAGTATAAAGAATGAAAAGGCTCCAACAAGGAATTTGTAAGTATTTAATAGAAGTTTAAAATTATTCAATAAACCGTTATAGTATACAAAGTATTGCAAATATATCGATTAAAATAAATTCAACTTTTTTTTTAATGGCTATTCCCGAACATAGAGAACGTAACAAACTCAAGTGTGAGAAATATTAAGCAATATCATTGGTTCAGAATCAAAAATATGGCGAAATAGTGAGTACGTACTGGTGGGAGTTGCGCCTATGGTATAATGATGGGACCGAATTAACGTGGTCTAACAAGGCAACAACCTATTCTCAAGCTCATTAAAAATGTTACCATTAACTAACTCTGTACAATCAAATAGTTAATTGTTATTATTCGTTTTTTTTCACTGATAGTAATAGATTGCTCAATTAACGCTCATATTATTTTATTCTCAACCAAAGCTTTGTTCTAGAAATTCTAGTAATGTACTGGTTTTTAGCCATCAGGGGGCACCAGTTCATTGCTCAAGGAACTTAACCGTGTAAAAGGACCTTAAGAGAAATGAACTTGAAACATAACTAATTCAAATCCGACTGCGAAAGATGAAGCATTTCGAGGTAGCACCAACGAGATAAGTATCCTATTCAGCATTCCCCGACATTTCAGGGCCCCCGACAGGAAAGGGGTAAACGACTGATAAAAAATTAATTACAACTTGAGTGAGAAGGTCGAGATTACTCACGAAACATATTTCAACCCGAATTCGAAACATAGTTCAATAATTCAAACAGAATTCATTGGAATTAATAATAATCAATATAACAGTACGGTTTACTATCCGAAAAATATAAAATTGCTTCCTCTCTCTCTCTATCTCAATAAAAATTAACACTAAATTTTAACGTTAACCAAGATCAACATTATAATTTATACAAAATAGGTGTGATTTTCAGAATTAATCATTTGATATATTAATCTTCAATTAAATTCATTTTCAGATTTCCTCCTTCTCCTAGGGCGTTTCGTTCTGGTAAGTTAAATACAATAACATATTATCACTTAAAAAAAGGATTTGGTTAGTCTACTTTCATGATTGTTTTAGGGACAAAATGGATACTCATATGACAGACCCGAGAATCCACTAAATGCAGGAGGCAGCACTCCAGGCCCTATCCTTTCAACTCCGTCTGGATTCCGACCTCAAAGCGATTTTCCACAACAAACAGGAACAACACCGTCCCTTCCCGGTAGCCCAGGTATTCCAGGCACCGGACCAGCAAGCCAGCCAGGATATCCAGGAGGAAGACCAACATATACTCCTGGAGGCACTGGTGGTACGCCAGGACAGCCAGGAACAGGCTATCCTTCAGGAAGACCATCTGGTCCAGGATTCCCTTCTACCCAACCATCAGCTCCAGGGCAAGGTACGCCAGGAAGACCAGGACAATTCCCTACAACACCTAGTGGTACACAATTTCCAACTGGTACTTCGGGAAGACCATCCGGCCAACCGGGTGGAACAACAGCAATAGGTGGGCAAGGTTATCCAGGAGGTAGACCAACTGGACCACAATTTCCATCATCACCAGGTGAATCACCAACACCAACCTTCCCAACTACTCAACCTGGTTCAGATGGACAATCTGGAAGACCGAGTGGTACATTTCCATCACAACCATCCGGGACAAGACCTGGACAACAAGGCTACCCTGGCAGTCAACCAGGATACCCTGGCAATCAACAAGGCTATCCTTCAGGTCGCCCTAGCGGACCAGGATTTCCAGGATCTCAGCCAGAACAAGGAGATGCTCAACCTGGAAGACCTGCAGGCTATCCTTCTCAGCCTGGTAGACCCGGAGTTCAACAAGATTACCCTTCAGGTCCTCAAGGTCCAAGCGGAACTTTACCAGGGCAAGGGCCACAAACTTTTCAACCAGGTGTTGGACCAAGCCAAGGCGGATTACCAGGACAAACCTCACCCCAGATCCCCTCAGCTCCTGGGATACCAGGACAACCAGGTACAGGAATAACAGGCCAGCCAGGTACAGGAATCCCAGGGCAACCTGGTACAGGAATCCCAGGACAACCAGGAACTTCAGGTCCATTCCTACCAGGCCCAGGCCAAACAACATTACCAGGAGGACCATCACAAACCCAATTCCCAGGAACACCGGGAGGCCCTGGCTTCACTCCAGGACAGGTTAGCCCACAAGGACCAGGACAGCCTGGCTTCTTCCCAGGAACCCAAGGTCCTGGCCCATTTGCTCCAGGAATTCCAGGATCATCTGGATTCCCTGATGATGGCAGCTATCCTGGTGGAGACTATTCTGCTATTCCCGGTGAACCTGGTACAGACTACCCGATATTTTCTGAAATCCCAGAGACTTCGTTTACATGCGAACAACAAGAACGCCCTGGATATTATGCCGATGTTGAGGCTCAGTGCCAAGTATTTCACATCTGTGCTAACAACAAAACATATGACTTCTTGTGCCCAAATGGAACAATATTTCATCAGGAATATTTCGTATGTGTTTGGTGGAATCAGTTCGATTGCAGTTCCGCTCCTGGTTTGTACTACCTCAACGAACAATTATATGATTACAACATTATGGGAAGTAATATTCCGGGAATCACTGGAGGATTTCCACCAGCTATAGGGCCAGAAGGACCTACATCACCATTTGGACCTTCAGGTGAGACTCAAGGGCCATCATCTGGTGGTCCTCCAGGCCAAGGCCAAGGTCCATTTGGACCGTCAGCTGGACAGCCAGGACAAGGTCCATTTGGACCGTCAGCTGGGCAGCCAGGACAAGGTCCATTTGGGCCATCTACTGGACCACAAGGACCAGGAACTGGATACCCAGGAGCACCACAACAGGATACACAAGTTCCAGGTAGCCCATCTGGAGTAGGCTACCCAAGCGGCGGACCAACACAAGGGCCTTCAACAACTCTTCCAGGAGGAAGACCAGGACAAGGACCTGCTGGATACCCCAGTGGAACACCTGGACAAGGACCTGCTGGATACCCCAGTGGAGCACCTGGACAAGGACCTGCTGGATACCCCAGTGGAGAACCAGGACAAGGACCTGCTGGATACCCCAGTGGAGCACCAGGACAAGGACCTGCTGGATACCCCAGTGGAGCACCTGGACAAGGACCTGCTGGATACCCCAGTGGAGCACCAGGACAAGGACCTGCTGGATACCCCAGTGGAGCACCTGGACAAGGACCTGCTGGATACCCCAGTGGAGCACCTGGACAAGGACCTGCTGGATACCCGAGTGGAGCACCAGGACAAGGACCTGCTGGATATCCAAGCGGTGGACCAACTCAAGGACCATCAGCTGGTTTCCCAAGTGGAGGGCCAACGCAAGGTCCATCAGCTGGATATCCAAGTGGAAGACCAATCCAAGGACCAAGTGGGCCAACACAAGGACCAACAGGCTACCCCAGTGGAGGACCAACGCAAGGACCATCAGCAGGATACCCCAGTGGAAGACCAACCCAAGGACCTGGTTTCCCAAGTGGAGGACCAACACAAGGACCATCAGCTGGTTTCCCAGGAGGACCAACCCAAGGACCATCAGCTGGTTTTCCAGGAGGTCCAACCCAAGGACCATCAGCAGGATATCCAAGCGGTGGACCAACGCAAGGACCATCAGCTGGATATCCAAGTGGAAGACCAGGCCAAGGACCATCAGCAGGATATCCAAGCGGTGGACCAACGCAAGGACCATCAGCTGGTTTCCCTAGTGGGCCTACGCAAGGACCATCAGCTGGATATCCAAGTGGAAGACCAGGCCAAGGACCATCAGCAGGATATCCAAGCGGTGGACCAACGCAAGGACCATCAGCTGGTTTCCCTAGTGGGCCAACGCAAGGACCATCAGCTGGATATCCAAGTGGAAGACCAGGCCAAGGACCATCAGCAGGATATCCAAGCGGTGGACCAACGCAAGGACCATCAGCAGGTTTCCCAGGTGGACCAACCCAGGGACCATCAGCTGGATATCCAAGCAGTGGACCAAGCCAAGGACCATCAGCTGGATACCCAAGTGGAAGACCAAGCCAAGGACCATCAACTGGAGTCCCAGGAGGACCAACCCAAGGACCATCAGCTGGATATCCTAGCGGTGGACCAAGCCAAGGACCATCTGCTGGATACCCAAGTGGAAGACCAAGTCAAGGACCATCAGCTGGTTTCCCTAGTGTGCCAACGCAAGGACCTACCGGATATCCAAGTGGAGGACCATCACAAGGACCATCGTCTGGTTTCCCTGGTGGCCCGACACAAGGACCAACTGGTTTCCCTAGTGGAGGACCCACCCAAGGACCTTCCGGCCCAACAGGACCGTCTGGCCAACAGGGGCCTACAGGACAAGGGCCATCGTTTGGAGGAAGACCAACTCAAGCTGACGTACCTTCGAAACCAAGTAGGGAATACCTTCCTCTGCCATCTGGGCCATCGGGCAGACCAAATGGTTCTCAAGGCAGACCCCAGGGAGGTCAACCATCTTTCCCTCAAGGAACTCAACCTTCTGGGCCACAGACTGGTCCGAGCGCTCCAGGAACAAGCCCCAGTGGACAAAGACCAGGTCCTCAATTCGACACACAACAGACAAGCCCACCAAAACCAGACCGACAATATTTACCACCTTATAGGCGGTAGTGATATAACCTAGAAACATCGTCTGAATTTACCAGACAGTCTTACAAACGCATTCTTACATTGTTCAATGTATATGCATTTAAATAATAGTTGTTGAAGGGAGAGCATTGTATTTACATGCCGATAGAAAGATATGTATATACAAGTTACAATTTTTTTCCCTTTGTCGAGGGCATTATAAAATTATCTCTTTTTATATAACTGTTATTAAATTAATTTTATTATGCTGTAAAGACTTTGCCATAAATAAAATGGTGTTTTTTCTAACTAATGACTACTTTTTCTATTTACCTAGAAAACCTAAAACATAATAGTTGAACATACAATACTGATTTGATAAAAATAAATTAAAGTTTCAAGATTTTTCGAACCAACCTATAAATGAGCATTTGATAAGCCAACCTGCATAATAGCGGATGATGCTAGTATAGTAGAGTGATGTAAACAGATATAAAATAATTATTGATTTTAAATTAAGAGAGGCCGTATATCAAACCCGAAAACCTATCATTTTCAGAAAGTGTAAAAAAAAAGTCAATTTTTGTTTTATAGCTTTAACTCAAACTGTTTATGATTATTTTATTTAAGAATTTTCGAATTGAATTATGAAAAAAAAACATTAATATTTGTTTAAATTGAAGCGATGTTACAAAAATTAACTTTTTCTCAACTTTTTAAAATGAAAGTTTTTGATATGAATGCCACTCATCTGTCGTACTATCCTTTTCAATAGGAATGAACATTCTTAGAGAAAAAAAACTAAGGTGTGTTCTTTAGACCACACAATAAAAGTGAAAACATCAACAAGGCGAGATTAATAATATGAAATATAAATTATAAATAATAGCTCATTGATAAAGGGGAAGAAATGCTGAAAATTTCCCTCGCTGACAGTATATAGGTCCGATTTTTAGTTTCTGAGATATTTTATTCTATATCTTCCATAAAACTCATTTGGTTTTAGAAACTATTTGTTCCTTTTCGCCTCTCTAACAAGGTATCGCGTTAAGATAAAATTTTTAATAATAGCTTATTACAAGAGGATCAAATGGTGAATATTTCGTATATTTATAATATTCCATATGAATATTATTTAATATTTCATGGGTGATAAATATTCAGGACGCAGTCTTTTTAAATTTTGTATTTATGCCAACGTTTCAACCCAAACATGTGGGTCATCTTCAGGGCTGAAAACTTTTTAAAATACAATCATAGATGTTATAGTATACCGCCGCTAATTATAAATAATAAACTGTATTGATTGATGGTACATGAATCTTAACTAATATTGCTATACACATATTAAAAATGCACATATTTCATTTTTAATATGTGTATTGCAATATTAGTTAAGTTGTTTGGGTTGAAACGTTTGCATAAATACAAAATTTAAAAATACTGCGTCCTGAATATTTATCACCCATGATATGTAGAACAGTCGACTAACTTCCTCTAAGTATTTAATATTTCATATTAAAAATAAATTGTTAATGATATTTATTAACAATTATTCATTCAAATATTTTTACTTTTTCTATTCAAATACTTTTACTAAAAAAATATCGTATTTGAGATAACATTTTCCAAATAATAAATAATGGCTTATATTTAACTAAAAACTTGAAATAACAGTGGAGGTACTCACTAAATAAATAAACTTGAGGTGACTGTGGAGGTAATAGCCCTGGAGCCAGGACCCAAAAATTGACCTCCTCGCAGGCGAAGATTTGATTGTAAATTACGAAAGTGTGTGTTATTTTGAGTAAAAAGAACCTTGTCTGCCGTTCCAGAGCCGCTGCTTTCAAAAATGGCGGCTGATTTAAAGAATATTAGGCCAATAATTTGAGGATCGAAACGCGAAATCCATTGCGAAAAATGTGAGAAAAGTTTTTATTTTTTTAACTTATATGGGTTTAGACTTATAAAAAACAAAATTGCTGACACGGGTCACCAAAGGAAAACTTTTTAAAAAATTGTGGCTGATTTAAAGAATATTAGGCCGTAACTTGAGGATCAAAACGGGAAACCCCTTGCAAAAAATGTGAGAAAAGTTTTTATTTTTTTAACTTATATGGGTTTAGACATGTAAAAAACAAAATTGCTGACACGGGTCACCTAAGGAAAACTTTTTAAAGCCAAAAAAGTCAGAGTTTTTAAAAACTGAGACAAATTACTATAAATGGGCCTGTAACATGAAAATGAGTTCCATAAGAGCAAAAACTCATATAATCAAAGTTGTAGAGCATCAAATTTTGCGTCCAGTGAGTACCGACTAACTTAATGTAGGTCACTTATTCCGAATAAAATCGGTAATCTCCCGGTGGTTGGAAATTGGTAATGAAGGTAAACATGATTTTCAATATTTCAACAATATGATTGTCTATTCTACTGAGTTATTTTTGTTTAGAGTATATCACATGCAGTATAAGCCTCTTTTTACCTCTCAGCAGTGAAGGATTTTGATAAACGGTTTATAGAAAGATACCGAATTTCATAAAGAAATAACGAATCCCGAATCGAGATATATAATTGGCCTACAGTGAAAATGTTAGCACTCAGTGGACGCAAAATTTGATGCTCTTCAACTTTGATTATATACGTTTTTTCTCTTACAGAACTCGTTTTCAAGTTACAGGGCCATTTATAGTAATTTGTATCTGTTTTTGACAAATTTGGTAATAATCAGCGTTGGTTGACCGTGGTTTTATACCTTAACACGTAACCAAATTGTAACGTTTATGTACTCCTTCAACGCACAATTTAACGTTCTTTAATTTATTAAAGAATGCATTTTTCGCTTTGATGTATCGTTAAGGAGTTATACATGAAAAACAAAAATATATCGAAAAAATCTGACTTTTTTTGTAGTAAATAGTTTTCCCTTGGTTTTGTTTTTTACATGTATAAACCTATACATACAAGTAAAAAAAAAATTAAAAATTTGTTCACAATGGATTTCCTGTTTCGACGCTCATGTTACTGGCCTAATATTCTTTAAATCAGTCACCATTTTTGAAAGCAGCGGCTCTGGAACGGCAGACAAGGTTATTTTTACTCAAAATAACATACACTTTCGTAATTTACAATCAAATCTTCGCCTGCGATGGGTTCGATTTTTGGACCCTGACTCCAGAGCTATAATGGCTTTGTGGCCTGAATCCACCTCCGTTACAATGTGTACAATAGTCAAACACAAAGCTATTAATCCTCTATCGGCTCAACTTTATAAACATACTTACAGACTGTATATTTCATTTTTAAATAATAAAAAAAGTTCACATTTAAATAAAAACTTTAAATAACAGTGAATAAGAGAGGCCTGGTGGAGACGCGAGAAGCTAGGGTAAACCGTAAATCCGTTGTATGTACCCCTTTTTATTAATATCCTCCTGAAACTTCGTGAATAATTTCGTTTCATCGTTACCTACAACAACTTTATTTACGAAAATTCTCTGAATTGGGGTGTTTTCAATCTGGAGATCGGCGAACTTTGTCTATTTGATTAGATACTAAAAACTCGTAAATACCCATTTGTTTTCCGCTTGAATCGTAAGATAACTTAAGCACAAAATCGAGAAAAAAGGCGGCCTATAAAAATATTGGACCGTTTATTGTGACATCAACCCCAACATATAGTGACCGAGTCCAACAATATTATGAACATATAATTATGCGGTTTTCATAAATGCTATCTTTGGTATTGTTTAATATTTAATTTTGTAGAATACAGCGATATGAAAATTAAAATATGTACACATAAGGGTATTTAATCTGTGTCTGAAAATACTTATTTCCGCTAAGAAGAGGGTGGTGAGTGAAAGTCGTATGATGCGCGCATCAGATTTTAAAAATTAATAATTTCTTTATTTGTACAACTTGTTTTCTGAAAATCAATTATTATTCCAATATTAATTAAAAACATTGAAAGTTGAATAAGAGTCTTTCATAGGCGCAGATTTTCCATTTTGATTGGGAGGAAAAAATAACTGTAGTTCATATTATGAGGAGAAATTCAACATAATTATTGTGAAATGAACAAGTATGTTAAATATTTAAAAATTTATATATGTTTGACAGTTGTAAGATTTTTTTTTATGCGCTTATGGATATACTTGAACAAAATGTAGAGATACTTGGTTATTTGAACAAAACAATTGTATATAATACAATTTGTGTACATTAAACATAAGAGAAATGAGAATAGTCTCCATAATATAGTTACATTTATAGAACTTTTATAAAAAAATGAATAATGTTAAAAACTGAAAAATACTTTTGATTTCTTAGTTTGAACAACCTCCAAATAAAAATAAAAAGTTTTCACAGTCTGACTAGTTTAGTTATATAGAAACATTCTCTATAAAATATATTAAATATATTTTTTCTAACTTTATTGCAGAAAATTAATAAGAAAATCACGTGAAAAATTAATAAATCATTAAATCCAAAGATATGTTTCCATATTTAAATAATAGGAATATTTAGGGCGTGATAAAATGGTTACTTACCTACTTACAGGCCTTAGGTCACATATTTTATTCATTCGTGTAGCTTATATGTTATCAATTTCAATTTGTTTTTACTTCGAATTATTGGGTAGAGAGCACAATGATTTTCTCAACATTTTTATTGGGGCGATAAAGGGCTTTTCCCCTCCTCCCCCAATAATTTGAAGTAAAAAAAATGGAGAGAAACAATGGTGTATGATTCGGGTGGAATAGTTTTAAAAATTGTACAACAAAGTATTAATGTTTTGTTTACAGTAATAGAACTATAAAAATTAATTTATTAAAAGAACAGTTTCTGAAATAAACTTATTATCTCACCACTTTTTTAATATTTAGATTCATTTATTAAAAAAAAATATTACTGCACAGATTATGATGAATCCGTTGATTCATTGGGTGTTTTTACATGGGAATTGAAACTTATTTCAATCTCCATAAAAGTATATTATGATACACTTTGGAAATAAGTGACTCATGTACTTTATTAAATAATATAATAAGCTCTTCTTATGTAAACAAGATTGTCAATACTCGGATACTTTTGGCATTCATCGGGAAACTGGAAACAGCATGCTGTGTGGTCTTGAAAACGGCCGCCATATTGGAGTAGCGAAAGGAAACTTTTAACCTTTTTTTTTAATTTATTTTATTACCTTCTAGGAGTATCAACCGGAATTCAATAGGTTAATGGATTTTACTTCACAATAATTTAGCACTAAAACTATGTAAAATAAAATAAAATATGGACTTGACTAGTTTTGTAATTCTATTCTAAATATATGAAAATCCAAGGACTTTTGGTTATACACAGAGTGTTTTGTAAGTAGCAATATCAGATTTCAAGAACTACAAAAAAAATGTTTATATAAAAATTGATTCTATTTTCTGCAGAAAAGTGGGAAATTTAAGTTTAATGTTTTTTTTTTAAGTAAGTCGTGTTTATGGATTAATTAGAAGCAGCTTCTCACAAAATTGATTTCTAAGACTAATTGTTTTTTAATATTTTTGTTTTATTTTTCAGGCTTTTTTTTGTTCCTAATAGAAAGGAAAGATAATTTTTTTTTTTTTCTAAGGAAATATTCTTATTCTATAGGACAGAATTAAAGATCCAATAATCCTTCTTCCTCGAGATATTTTTAATTAAATATATGTATTGCAAGTATCTTTTTCATTTATTCACTTTATACCACTTTATTCCTAAATACCAAAATTCTATGCTCTGGATAAGATGCCAATTTTTTATCATCAGGGATGTGCTCAATGAGATGAAGGAAAAATTGTTAATCTTAATAATAAGTTTATAGGTGACTATTAAGTTTATGTGAATTGTGAGTACTACTGGGTTGGCAAATAAGTCCTTTCGGTTTTTCTGTTTATTTTTATGTCACTTCTTATACATTTCTTATCTGATGAATTAATCTCTAAGGTGGATTGTTTATCCTGTTTGTAATATGTCAAAAACTATATCTGTTAACTCTTGTTGAAACTAGTTTAGTATTGTGTTTGCTATTGCACTGTGATTATAGAAGAAAATATCATTCAGTATCGGCTATTCTGTTGGATTATTTTAAAAAAGGTAAGCGTGCTGCAGAAGCTCATACAAAAATTTGCAGTGTTTATGGGGTTGATGCCTTAATCAAAATTGGTTTGTCAAATTTCATTCAGGAAATTTTGACATCAATGATGTTCACCGGTTTGGTCGTCCACATGAAATTGAAACGAGCAATGTTAATGCCATTGTTGATTAAAATTCCACCCAATAAGTTCAAGAAATTGCTACGGCCCTAAATGTAACAAGCTCGTTTAAGTTTCCAGGCTTAATGTTTGATTCCCTCACATGATTTTTTTTTTAAATCATAAAAAATGTTATAACTTCTATACAACTTTAGCTATCTACAAGAAATTTAGCAGGAATTTAGGGCCACATAAACTACACAAAATGACATCAACAGGAACTTCATAAACAAACTACAAAGGGAGATAAAAAATAAAAACCTAAAAGGAGTTTTTATTTATTTATTCCTTATGTAGGTATTAAATTAAAAAACCATTCATACAGCTTTGAAGAGCAATAATTCAGCTTTCCAACGGACATAGTAACATCGAATTTGGAGAACGTCCTGAAGAGTAATGAATGATCAGAAGGGTTTTGTGTTCCACCAACACAACCCTAGGTCCCACACCTCATTGGTCACACAATAAATTATTGAGCCTTTTGTCCCACCCTCCTTATTCACCAGGCCTAACTCCAAGTGACAACCACTTATTTTGTTCTCTGCGGAACTCCATGAATGGAAAGAAATTCCAAAAGGAAGAAGACATAAAAAACCACTAGGATCAGTTTTTTTAACAATTAACTCCAAACATTCTATGAACATAACATTATGCAGTTAGTGGAAAGATTGGAAATAGTCATATTAAATAATGGTCAGTATATTGTAGATTAAAATAAATTTTATGTCCATAATACATTGAGTTTTGTTTCACCCTGAAAAACTGAAAGAACTTATTTCCCAACCCAATATTTTCTAGATTCTGAGTATTATATTTCAAAACTAATTTATTTTCTCTTTCTTCGAGTTTAATAAGCTGAGACATTGCAATAAAGATCATTCCCTCTTAATAACTGTATCATTTGCCCCATTAGATATGAAGGTGACATCAGAAAGTGTCACAGAAACAATTATGGGTATAATATCCAATAATCATACTCATCAAATCATAAAGAAATAATTATGTCAATTTCTTAAGAAATATATTATTATTAAAATTACAATTATTACAAAACAGAATTATAAGTCCTCAATAAACATAACAATCATTCAGGTACTACACTTGAAATCCACGATAAGTAGTCTCCATTGCCATTTTCGATCTGAAAATAATATACAAAATTAAATAAATTAACAATTTTATTCAAATAAATTTTATGAAACAATAAGTATATAAAATAAATAAATACAAATTTAAATATCCTTAATATCAAATCAAACTATTATATAGGGTTTCTCGGTTCTTAATGGCTTAACTTTGGATGGTGATTCTAAACAAAATTTGCAACAAAAAATTTTATTTAATGCATCTGCCGATTTTGAACAGAAAAGGATTTACATCCAATTTTTTCTTGAGGTGGTCAAGTATTCTCTTTTATAGAAATTAATTACACAAAAAATACTTAATTTAGGGAGTTAAAAGTTGCTTTATAGTAAACTAGATAAAATTTCCATTAAATAAAAATAGAATTTGTCTTCATCGAGACCATTTAAATGAGACTTTTAAGCAGCTAAACTATACTAAGTTGTGTTTTTCATTAAATAATGGATTATTTGCTGTATTTTTTTTTATTTTCTGACAACTGAACTACAGATACCCAAAATTATGTTATTCGTCCAAAAAAACAACAATAGAAAATTACTTGAAGCCATACACATCACAAAAAACAATAAAACAACAGTAAATTATAAAACAGACACCAAACATTTAGGGACACATTATGCTGACATATTGAACAAAATTAAAATTTAATTAAAAATGAAATTGCAGCTACATAAAATAAATAAATAAACAGTCATATCCAAAGGTCAATTGTATTCACCATGGCAGGCACCCAATAATTGGTCTAAAAGCATGATGTTGCTCTGGATGTTATATACCTTAATTTATTGTAACATGAATTTAGAACCTGATAATGGAGCACATTAGATTTAAGGTCATTAAAAATTTAATGTGACAACTCAATTCTGACATGTATTGTAACATGCATTATTTTTAACTCAATTTTTAGCCATGAATCAACAAAAAACATGGAGATTATACTTCTTTTTTTCTTTTTTCTGGGAAGTTGTCTAATATTCTTAGTTATTTGGCAATGATTACTTCCAATTGGTAACATTGGGATTATAGTTCTGAAGATGGGAGTAAATATCCCAAAATGAAAATGAAATGAATGAAAATGAAATGAAAAAATAATTTTATTCTTGGACTACTGTCCCCTAAGAATAATAACAGAGTTACAAATTTATGTATCTTAGTCTGACATAATAAAAATACCAACTAATTTATTGTTAATTGTTATTTCAATTGTGCAATGGATTGAAATTAAACATTGTATAGATGCAAGTAATTTTACATGTTAGGGGAAGTTTGAATGTGGAGTAGGTGTTGGAACAGGAGTTGTTTGAAGGAATTTGTGGATGAGGATTGATGCATGGAGGTAGGAAGTGAGTTCCATAAGGAAGCAGCACGAATGACGAAGGATTTGCTGAAGGAGGAAGTTTTATGGGAGGGAATATATAAGTCTATAGGTTGAGACCTAGTATTGAGAGAGTGGATAGAGGAGCGCAGATTAAGGAGTTCCAGGATGTAGGGAGGGTTTTTGGTTCTGAAGACTTGGAAAAGGAAAACGCCAAGAAGGAATTGTCGTCGGGAAGTAGGATAAAGCCACTTCAACTCGGTGTACCATAGTGAAACATGTGAACGCCTGGGGATCCCGAAAATGTATCTTATGAAACAATTCATGAGTCTTTTTAGTCTCATTTCCAGCCTGGCAGATAGCCCTCCATACACCAAGCAGCCGTAGTCGAAGTGGGGGGATACAAGGGAGGTTACAAGGAGCTGTCTGGTTTTTAGAGAAATACAATCATGGAATCTTAGGAGTTGTTTAAGGGCAGTTATGGATTTTCGTGTAATCTGGGAGATATGATTATCCCAGGAGAGGTTCTGGTCAAAGGTTACTCCTAGGTTTTTGACTGTAGGGAAAAAATGGATGGGATGGTTATTGAGGTAAAGTAGAGGAAGGTAAGGAAGGGAGCTGATGAGATGTCTGGACCCGATGATAATAGCCTTGGTTTTATCTGCATTCAGCTTCAATTCATTTATTCCTGCCCATCTGTTGATGCAGCCTCTTGTAGCCTCCGGGCAGCCTCAGGCATCTCAGAAGGTTGGAATGATTGGTATATTTGGAAATCATCGGCATATAGGTGGTAATTTTAATATGTAAACATGTAATTTGGAAATACAACAAATAAAACAATTGTTGTTTAATTGGAAGTCATTATTGCCAAAAACAAATAATAACATACAACTTCCCAGAAAGAAAGAAGAAAAAAAAAAGAAGGTATGTTATTTGATATTCTTTTTTTTTTTTTTTACCTACCAAAGAACTGTTATAGAAAGATCAGGAAAATTGGACTTAGAAATATCAAACAGAATAAGCAAAGCAAATGCAGTCTACAACCAGATTTGTAACACCATTGTAGGAAAGCGAGAGGTAGATAAGAACGTCAAGCTCCATATATTTAAATCTGTGTACCTGCCAATACTTTACGAAACTGAAAGCTGGATATTGACAGACAGGCAAGAGAGCAGTCACTGCTGCTGAAGTTTGTCTGAAGAACAGTTGGTAAGACTAGGAGGACTGGGGGTCACCTCATTGAAGAAGATTCTGGAAATCTGCCAATTGAAAAGGTTTGGCCATGTGATTAGGATGGAGCAACATAGAGATCCATTGAAGACGATGGACTATACTGCAGATGGCAAAAGACCTCGCCCAAAAATGTCATATCTGGTGTAAATAACCTACTGAAAGTTAAATGTAAAATAAAGATGTTTTGGCGGGAATAGCGAATAGCCTTCCGCTTTTATATCGGGGATTAAGGTTACTTACACTCGTGAATATTAAGATAAAACCCCGGCACTGGATATCGACTTTTTGAGGGTGTTTAACTGTCGTTGGGAATTTGGGAATCTAATACCTTTTATGACACTGTATGAGAAGAAACAATAAGAATACATATATGAAATGTGGGACTTAGTAAACACTTTGAATGAATTGACTCACCTGGTTTATTCTTCAATTGTGAGGCATAAAGGACAACTAAATAAAAGGACTATTCACTCCTGTCTAACAAAACAAATTTATTTTAACAACTGATAATAAATGAATATATATAAGTGAACGGTCGGCTTGATAATCTTGGTCTTCAATGTAGTAAGCCTCTCTTCCCAGATGACGTCTTCTTGTGTTGGTGTTCAGGCCTCAAGTGATTGGTGTCCTTTTCGCCATCTGTTCCCAGTTACCTGCTCTGACCTTTTTCCAGCCTCCTTCTTCATCGATATGAGATTTTTTAATGAGCAATTTGTCCACTGCACAATTGAGTACAATTCACAGTGCAACCTCACATTCCTATATACTATATATTCCTTCTCATTCCCTCACCCAATGTCACACAAAGGAGTGAATAACGGGGGATGTCTACTACACTGGAGTACATCGATAGACTTTTATTTTTTATATTAGTGTATTATCATAATTAATTTATTAATATAGATATCATACCACAAGAAAAAGAAGGAATCAAAACTAAATAACAATTGCAAGGTTGTTATTTTTGCTGAAAATACAGATACTCTGGAACAATAGAATATCAAATCACATCATTTTTACACAGATGTGAAACTCAACTCTATTCTGTAACAAACCTTAACTAAATTGATAAACAATTAAAGCTTATAAAGGTACATAAGCCAGTTGCAAGGTTGATAAAAAATATCATGAATAATCAATGATTTAATGAAAAGCAAAACTTAAACGTAGTTTATCCGCTTAAAAGTTTGCTGTAAATGGTATTGATGAAGACAAACTCTATTTATATATAAAGGATTTTTTTTTCTAGTTTACAATGAAGCAACTGCTAATTACCTAAATTAAATAATTGTTATGTAATTTCTTTCTATAAAGGAGAAAACCTGACGACTATAAGAAAACATAAAATTTGACTTAACTCCTTTTCTGTTCAAAATCGGCTGATGCATCAAATGAATTTTTTTGTTGGAAATTTTGTCTAAAATCACCTCTCAGAGTTTGGGCATTAAGAACTGAGATACCCCTTATAAAATTAAATATTATAAACGTAGATGATGATTAGTGCTTCAAGTCTACTTTGCCTGAACTAATAAATACAAATATTATTTAAGAATCTATATAAATCTCACTTAGAAAAAAAGTAAGAGATTCCTGAACTATTAAACCTAATATAGTAGATGGCAGACTCAAACTATTTTTAATATGATATTTTTGTTTTTACTAACAAAAATGAAATAAAATAATGGCATAAAGTATGTTATAGATTTCTTCACCTTTTATATTATTTACACTATATATAACATCGTAATATAGATCCATCATCTGGTTCTTAGGACTGATGGATTTTAATAAATGAGGTATCCAATAAAAGGAAATTTTACCAAGGAGTGATGAAACCCAATTTCGAAATATAAAAACCTAACAACTACAATAAAAGTCATATGAAAAATTGGGAAGTTTCTAAAAAACTCAGATGGTTATAACTAGAGCCCGGATTTTCGTGCAGTAAAGTAAAAAACTCAAAATCATGCAGTATAAATCCAAAATACATAAAATTGTGTAAATGACACCTAAAAACGTGTAGAATCATCAATATTGTTTAATTTATAACATTAATACATCAAAATCTTATCAGATCTTGAGTTAACTGAGATTAAAAAAAAAAAATTGAAATGTAACATTGAAAATGAAATTCCAGATTATAATCAAGTATTATAATAATGATTATCAAATAAAGATAATCAGAGCATTGAAGGTTTGAAAGAATAAATGAAGGAAGGAATTATAGATGCCTATGTATATATTACATAGATTAGACCAATTTTAGATATGTAACTTTAATTAAAAATAATAATGAAAACTTAATTTTTATTAGAGTTGAAGTTTTCAATATAATACATTATCAAACATTTTTGTTAAAATTTAAAGAATTTTGACATTTTTTTTTAAATAGACTTTAATATTTGAGATTTTCAAGTGTTCAAAAATTAGTGTTGAAGCTGTTTTTCTATACCACTAAAAAAATATTTGTATGAATTACGTTTTTTCTAAAAAAAACAAAAAAAAAATTCTATTCTTTGATAAGAATATTTGTTTCTTACTTTTCCCTAATGAGTGTCTATCAGTGATTTCCTATCACTTGATTGATTCATAAGGTGTATAGAACTTTCTCATCAAATTCTTTGTCCTTGCATTTCAAATCGGGATATTTTTATATCCAGATTTTAATTTTTGATGGGAGAATAGATTTTACTTTCAGCATTATATATATATATATATTTTTTTTATAAAAATGAAATTTCTACAAATCAATTCAAAGCCAGAAGTGATACTGAAGGATTGAACGGTTTTGTTAAAATTGAGGATTCAAGCCAAAACAATAACTGTAAATTTCTTAATAACAAAGCAACTTTTTATTATCCAATACTTTAGGCAAGTTCTATTCCAAGAATAGATCTTACTTACGATTTTTGCTTCACATAGAATTATTTGTCTTCCTCATATCTTCCTATTTTAAATAATGAATTTAATTTGAACAATATAATAAAATAAATATTAACACACTCACTCATACATATGCAAATGTGCAATTTAATGCAACAAAAATCAAAATCGTAAAATTTAAGCCAAAAACGGCAAAACATACACTTTCGTGCAATATAAAATTTAAATATGTTATTCTACAGGTTCTGAAACGGATAGATGTTCGAGTTTTTACACGCAAGTGAATAAAAAGTGAAATAACATGGAAATCGGGTCTCTAGTTACAATAGTCGATGGATTAAGACGGTAAAAATAATGTTCCTCTGGTATTATACCAGCCTCTATGTTTTAAAACGCTAAAATAAACCATTTTCGAGAGGACTGCAAATCTTGGAAAAATTACCTCAGCCAGAGAATCCCAACTGCTTATCAAACGTACAAAAATCAGACAAGTGAACCCAAATTAATATCAATTCCGGAGAAGAGAAGATCCTGGGAAGATTTTGTTCGGAAGCTGGAAGAAAATGCAAAGGAAAACCAGAAAGTCTTTTACAGAGTGCTCAAAAGAATGAGGAAGGACAGACCAACTACCCTGAAAGGAATAAAGGATAAAAACGAGAACATTGTCTGGCATGAGGAGTGCATCATGGAAAGTGAAGGGAATATTTTAAACACCTGTTAGAGGAGAGAGACATTGAGCAATGTGAAACCCGGAACGATGCAGAGGAGATTTGGGATGAGGAAGACTACATCAGTGAAAAAGAAGTCCAAGATGGAATTGGAAAGACCAGACTAGGCAAAGCAGCTGGACTCAATGAAATTACACCAGAAATGATTAAGTACATAGACAGCATAGGCCAAGAGACGTTCCTCCATCTTTTACACCTGTGATGGAAGGAGAAGAAGAAGATTCCCAGAGGGCGTAAAGTAGTAGTGATTGTGTCCATTCACAAAAAGGGGGATAATCGGGAGTGCAGCAACCATAGGGGAATATCCCTTCTCCCTGCAAAAGTCTACTCTAGAATTCTAGAAACAAGAGTGAGGAAAATTGTCTATTGCCAACTAGGAGAAGAACAGTATGGCTTCAGGAATCAGAGAAGCACGCAGAATCTCATCTTCAAGATGAGACAAATAACAGAAAAGACTGTTGAGAAGGAAAAAGAGCTCTCAATCTGCTTCGTGGATCTCCAGAAGGCTTTTGACAGAGTGAAGAAAGAAAATATAGAGTGGGGTGCAGACCGTGAAATAATCTTGGTGCTCTTGCAGAGGACTGCAAATCTCGCAAAAAGCCTAGATCATTCATTTATAACTGATGTTTTTAATAGTTTCATTAACAATAACTAAATCTTAAATTTAATTTAATTAGCATACCTTAGTAGAAATGACTTCGCAAACTTCGTAAGGATGATTTTTCCTGTAAATATAAATACAAACTTAGAACAGTAATTAAATAAATTATGACAGTTCTGTTCAATATACAGTAGCTCACAGTGAAATTGATACACTCCGTAGACATTTTAAAAAAAAGACTTAAAATGGTCACAGTAAACAAATAAAACCAGAAACTCTTCAGCAGATTTATTTATTATCTCAATTTAAATATATACAAACTCGATAAAATTAAAATATTTAACTGAGATTATTTTAAAAAATTAACAAAAATACTGGATAATTTTACCTCAAAATCAAAATGATACACCTTACTTCTAATTAACTTTTAAATATTATTAATTTAGTTCAACATCTTGTAGGTGAGCCATTATTTTCTACATCTCCTTTCAGTTTGTTTGTAATGGAGTAACCTATTTTTTGGTGGATTCTGGACTTTGTTCCACTCTTCCGGGAGATATTCTTTGCTAGAAATCTCGTTTTTTCTAATTTCTATCTCCAATTTCGCCCACAGTTATTCTATCAAATTAAAATCTGGTCACTACGGTGGAGTTTTTATAACTTTAAGGCAGACAAAAAGTAGCCATTCCTTAACTAACATGGCAGATTTTTTGGGGTCATTATCATGATAAAAAATAAATCTGTTTTTTAGCCACAGATTTTCCACAATTTCTAGCAATTTTGTTCTCAAAATGTCTATGTAAACATGTTTATTCACTATATGTGAATATTTCTATTATAAAGTGAAGATTGAATATTTTTTTCAATGTATAGAACTATTGGATCAATGTATTGAAATCAATAAATGGAACTATTTATTGATTTAATAATTTATATCAATATCCAGGTGTATCATTTTGACTGTGAGCCATTGTATATTTTTTTTTCACATTGTTTATATTTTTTTGTCTGAATATTATGTAACTTCCTTAATTCTCTATATCTTTTTGTATCTTGTTCGTTCTAGCCCTGAAGAAGACTTGCAAAGTCGGATCGAAATGTTGGCTTTTAATAAAATAGTTTTGCCACTATTTAGTTTATTTATGACCGCCACCCCGGACCATATCCTTCCTTTATAATGCAACAGTCAACTATTAAAGATTCGATATATTTTTTTTGTTTTGTCAAGTTGAAAATAAATTTTTAATTCTATTTATTTTCCAAGAATATTCCATTTAGTGTGCATGGAATCATTCATCTTTTATTCTATCGACCTGAAACATTCTGCCTTAAAACTCAAGAAAGGTTTTAATTTAATACAATCCAGCTAATAAATCATAAAAAATTAAAATTTAATATATCTGCAAAGCAATACTTACTTCACAAATTCTGTTAATTCAGGTACCTTTGATGTTCGGGTTTTAATCATCTGAAACATAAGAAGATGCTAAAATGTAATCTATTGTTTCTGAAAGGTGTTCTTTGTCATCATTCAATATCTTCCTCAATACATTATCAAATCCGATTACAGAACCACTATTTTGAAGAATAACTTCTCCAACTAATGCCAAAAAATAAGCAAATCCTCCATAAAAGAAAGAAAAAAAAAATTATGAATGAAAGGAAATTTATTAGCACATAAGCAAAAAGTAAAAAATTTATGGTTGATTATAGTCATGATAAATTGAAAGGTTTCTATATTCCATACAAAATTAAAAAAAAAAAAAACTACGGCTTGTGCTTAAGACCACGCGATAGAAGTGAAAACATCAACAAGACGAGTTTAATAGTATGAAATATAAATTGTTTTCTGTTCTATATTCATATAGTAATAACCCGTACAATTTATGTAATTATAATTGTGTATAAACTACATTTTGTTCTATATTCACAAAATAATAACCTTTATACAATTATAAATTTAGTATACTTTGCTTTGACAGATCGTCATTTGTATCATTCTCTATAAATGATGCAGTAAGTTAATGATAATTAAAGTATGTAATGTATACTTTTGATTGAAATCTATTAGCTATATATCTACCAAAAACTCTGTCATTTTTTTAATGAACTTCTGTGACAGGAGTCAGTAATTTGCAGAAACTCTAAACGAATGGAAACACAGAAGTTCTTATTTCTTATTTTTATGGCAAATAAAAAAAAAATATTTATATTGACTTCCACAAATCAGTTTCTGAATTTTCCTTGATATTAAGATTTTGTAATATTTTGGTTCAAAACATTCTTATTTGATTTTTTGGCTGGCTCTCAGCGTCATGTCAAAATAAAATTTTGATTTATAGCTCATTACAAAGATAATGGTATGCTGAATATTTTCCTTGCTTACAGTATGCAGGTCCGCTTTTTAGTTTCTGAGATATGTTTATGTCTATATCTTCAGTAAAACTCATTACCATTTTGTTTTCAACACTATTTTTTCCCTTTGCGCTTCTCTAACACGTTGTCATGTTAAAATACAATTTTTAATAATAGCTCATTATAAAGAGGATGAAATGCTGAAAATTTTCCTTGCTTACAGTATGCAAGTCCAATTTTTAGTTTCTGAGATATTTTAATCCATATGAAAAAACACTTCAATTAGTCAAATCCACTTTAACCAAAAGTTACACATCCGAGCCTGACCGCTTACTTAGTTTCATTCACTACCCACAAAATACTGCAAAACACAATTAAAGAAGTTTTCACTTCAAAATGCATCGCAATCTGACCATTATTTGTATAGATGTAGCCTATTGGAATGTATGAACGGGATCTGGTTTATTTTCAAACTGCAATTGATCGAAAACAAAAAAATTTGGTGATGTAGAGATGGTTGACCGTTGATATGATATGAGAAGGAGTTAGTTGAGGGTGCGGTCAAATAAATAAAAAAATTAAAAAATATAAATAATTTTAATTTTTGCCGACGTTTCGACCCACTTTGCAGGTCGTCTTCAGGGCGTAATTTGTGGTACTGCGGGAGGCAGTTGAAACACTGGCCACGGTTTCAACTGGCAACGGTTTACGGCCAGTGTTTCAACTGCCTCCCGCAGTACCACAAATTACGCCCTGAAGACGACCTGCAAAGTGGGTCGAAACGTCGGCAAAAATTAAAATTATTTATATTTTTTAATTTTTTTATTTATTTGACCGCACCCTCAACTAACTCCTTCTCAAAAAAATTTGGTGTGTACACTCACACGACTTTCCTACCTATTTCAGAAAAGTTTTTATATCTTTATATATGTTCATGAAGAAACAAAAAAAAAAATTAACTAGATTTATTTTCCTGAAAAGTGATCAAAGAAAAGATTTGAGTACAATTTATTTGATAAACTAAAGCAATGAAAACCGGTTTAAGGAAGATCAGTGTAAAAATTTCAATACTCTCTAATATTGCTGATCAAAAACTTTTTGCCATAGCTTAGCTTGTCGAACAATAATTTCTGTTAAAACTAGAGGAAATAGTGAAGCTTGTGTGATGCGGGCAACAGATTTTCTTACTTTCACTTAGTCATCTTTTTCACTCATTCACCCCTTTCTGACACCAGGATATGAACCCGTAATCTTACATTGAAAATAGAATAGCTGTAACTTTGTTAATAGTTGTCCAAAACAAACGATTTTTATATAGTTTTGTAGGGAATTTCATTACCTTTTAGAAAACAGGCTAAACAGCAATATAAACCGGCTTGTCGAAGATCAGCGTAAAAACATCAAAAGTTTTATTATAAATGATAAATTATGATATGATGATGATAACATATGCTTAGGGAGTTAGGCCCCATAACATTTTTATTTTCTTTATAACTTTTTTTCCTGAATATTCTCGAGAATTTAGTCCACATACGAAAATTGAAAGGACAATTATTAGAACATTATAGGAAAATCGTTAGAGCCGTTTTCATGCTACAGTCTATAGAAAAATATGTTTAAAATATGTACGCTATTGCGCATGGAGCACCGAATTTCTGTCACATGCATCAGTAGTCAAAACCCTACAAAATAAAAAAAAAAAGCAACAAAATCGGTTCAGCAGTTCCTGAGAAAATCTTGGCACAGACAGACGGACAGACCAATAGCTGAAAATATGTTTTTTGGACTCAGGGGGCTCTGAAACGTATAGATCTGTCGAAAACCGCATATCGGAAATTTGACCCGATTGCAATACTCTCCTTACCTAGAAGAGGTAGGAAAGTAAAAATTATTTTGCCTCTTTCATAAAACAATATATGTATATATATTTTTCCACATTATATTACCATTTGTTCACTGCTACTATACGAAATTCACTATATGAATTGTTCACATAGGATTAGCTAGTTATAATTAAAATACAACAGAGCAAATTTTTTTTTTTTTCATTTAACCATTACCTCACCATTCCTTGCATACAAGAGGAAGAAGGATTTTCTAGAGAATCAATCAAATCTATTATAACCAGAGTGATAAAATCAATATTTATTCTGTGAGTCAACCATAAAATAAATTTCAACTTTTCCAGGCAGCATTCGAACTATGGCCTCTAGACTCGAGAATGATCAGGGGAATATTCTCTAAGCTACAACTTTCAATTCAATCTACTTCACATTAGGACATAAAGAACAGAAGAGAAGATCAACTGAATGTTACGTTAAGAAAAAAATTCGGTTTAATCGAAACATTTGTGAGCAATATATATTACAAAAATTCTTTCAATAACATGTAGTTTGAGCAGAACAACTTTTTAACTATAAATTTACATTACTGTAATAGATAATATAATTGTTATAATGTCAAACTTTTTAAACTGATTATTTATAAGATTACAGAAAAAAATTATTTTATAATGCAAATATTACCACTTTTAAGTTATGAGTTCAATTTTATAATTCTTTTCTTGAGTCTAAACAAATTAAATTTATTGACAGTTAATTAACAAATTTTCAAACCAACTTTTTCATCCCAAAAATACATAAACAAATAAAAATTTCTTTATCAATATTAAAAAGCTTTTATTTAGTTGTTATCACATATATTTGTAATGTTTCAGGCCTTTTTGACCATTTCAAACTATTAAATTATCCATAAAATAGAACGACTCTTCACAATAAGTATTCATTAGGATTATATCTATATTTTTAATTAATTAATAATAATAAAATTTAAAAATAATTCAAATCCATTTGTTTAATACTGAAAATAGTTAAATATATATTAAAAGAGCCATACCATAAGAACTTCAGAATCTTCATTGATTTCACCTTTCCATTCATATCTACAAAGCATCAAATATTAAAGTTAACTATTATAGATTCAATTAATATGAACAAATAACAGGACAAAAGCTTTGTATTAACTTACATAGAAGTTATTTTTGGAATAACGTTCACACAAGCAGCCAGTTTATTTGAAACAAGACCACTGAAAATACAGAAAAATAGTGGTTAACAAATCTGAATAATTAGTTAAGATTAAAATAAATGAAATACACACCAAGTTATAGCACTATAAGGTACTTGTGACTTAGCCGGTCGCCACGGAATCTACCTTCTTATCTCGTGTAATATCTTCCTATCACTCATCTCTGGCTAGTTTCTTGTATGTTCTGTACAGATTAACTAAAAACATTGAAGGACCTGAAAAGGTGGTTTTTCTAAAAGAAAAAATCATGTAGGGAAAGTGCTCCCTGAACAACAGGGATGTATGGCAGAGTTTGTCGAGAAACAGACGAGTGTTTCATTGTAAAAATAAATGACAGAAAAGCAATAACTCTATAAGAATATATTTAAAATAATATAGAAGAGAGAACCATTATATATTCTCACTGTTGAAAAGTATACAACACCCAACAACTAAATGAAGCAAACTACAAATATTTCCAAGTGAATCATCGTTATAACATCAATCCTTAAAGTGGAGTCCATACTCAACACATTGAATGATTATGGAACTCAGCTAAGTTGAGGAATAAAAAGCATCAAGGAACTGCGAGGTAACACCTGAATTCATAATTATGTGAATATTTGTGATGACTGGTCCACAAAGAAGAGGACCCATTCCTCATTATTTTAAATAGCATTAAGCTATTTTTTCTCCCAAAATAAATAAAATGTTTTAAAATAAAAGTGTTTTGTTATTACATTTCTTTTTGTCTATTTAAATTTCCACAAATATAAATAAGAAGGTTGGTATTATCAGTATCAGAATTATCAGTGTTTAGATTACAAACAATGGTGGATACCAATCCGTGACGAATGGCTAACTCACAAGTACCAACTGAAATTCTGGAATAGGATAATAAAAAGGCTATAATACCATATAGCAATACAAGAATGAAAATATGTTATTGGACAAAGCATCATTTTTCTTTCTGATTTATTAACATTTTAATCTTAAAGACTAAAACAAATGAAAATATTTTAATGCTTAAATTAACCCACAATATACCCTTTTGTAAATCCATGTAGTTGTTTATAAAAAGTATCGTGTATTGGAAATAGTTCTATTAGGAGCATAATTTAAATTCTTAAGAGTATAATGTACAGTTTTATTACGAATATAACAATAAAATTGAATATAATAAAATAGCAAAATATGGTAAGATAGTAAATAAGGTTATTATGAAATAATAAATGTTTTATTTTAAAAAACTAATACTAATAGCTAAATATACTGTAATATGCTATTCTGAGCTCAAGTAGCACATTCATGCAGTCTATTGGCAACCTTTAGAACTATTTGAAAAACTGATGACAACTGAAAAAAACAAAACTACAGGCTTCAATGAAGAAATTTTTTTTCTATTCAGTCAGCGCGACAACTTGATATCGAGTCTTGGCCACCTGTACCAGCCTCCACCAATTGTTGTTATCCTGTGCAGCCCCCACCAATTGTTTTTATCCTGTGCAGCCGCCACCCAGCTCCTCACTCCCACCATGGACCTGGCATCACCAGCCACACCATCACTCCACCGAAGCCAAGGTCTTCCTCTATGCCTTGTACAATACATACTTCTGTCATGATCTTTTTCAGACTGTGATTATCAGCCATTCGAGCGACATGCCCAGCCCATCCTAATCTATCGAGCTTCATGAAATAAACCACGTCTGGTTCTTTAAACAAATCTTTGAGCTCCTGATTTGTCCGACTTCTCCATAACAGGTCAACTTCCACAGCTCCAAAGATCTTACACAAAATCTTCCTCTCAAAGACCACTAGATTCTGCTCGTCAGTTTTGGAGATAGTCCATGTTTCTGAGCCATAAAGGAGTATCGGTCGGATAATTGTTTTATGCAATAGGACTTTTGTTCCTCTGGTTATGGCATGGCTCCTAAAATATGGACTGAGGCCATAATAACAATGGTTGGCACATCTTCGCTTAATTATCATGAGTTATGAGGGATCCGAGATAAATAAATTCCGACACTTTTTCAATGGAGAATTCTCCGAAGAATATTCTTCAATGAAGAAATACTTTGTATTATTTATAAATTAGTATGCAGATAAATTAATTAATAAATGTTTGGAATGATCCTAAATAAATATAATGGTTGGACAACTTCTGTAAGAGGCATAGTTAAGTTCTCCCCCAATCTTTCCAAGGTTGTTCTTGGGAGACTTTCTGCAATTCTATCAGACCATCTCTGCCTTTAATACGAAGAGTATTTGGAGTTCTTATTTAATGATATATCATCAGCTTGTTATCCGAGACTAGTTACCTCCACTTGCAATTTCCTAATCCTTGGCAATATTTGAAGGTTGGTTCTCTTCAGTTAGCACCCATCTTAAAGGTATGTAGAAACCAGGATACAAAATGATGGTAACATATCGACACTGGTATTGTTGAAAGGTGTCCCTCTAATGCAAAATGTCAGTGCGATACAGAGAAGCATCGGGCAACTAAGTATCAAAAATTATTCCTTAAAAGATGTTCTTGAAGAGATTAGAATGCAAACATTCGGTCAAGATGTGAACCACTGTTGAAGGGTACTTCAAAGGAAATACATTGAAATGGAGATTCTTTTCTCAATAAATACTCATGGGTAAGTTGAGTATGTCAAATCCTCAGCTATGTCAGTATTTTTTTCCTTCTAGTCAGCAAGATATTTAGAATTTCTCAATAAACGTAAGCTCCATAACTCTTAGCTTTTTGTTTACATATTAAAACACAACTTCCTTTCTTATAAATACTCACCTAATCAGCAAACAATGAAATAAAAATATATGATTTATCCAACAAATTAAAAAAAGATTATTTTTAATTTAAAAACAAAATGCTTTTCTAATTAAAAAAAAAAAACAAGTGAAGCTAGGAATTTTCAAATTATTTGTTTTTAGTTAATTTATGATTAATGTTTTTACTATGAGAAAAATTTATTAATTTATTCAACTAAAAAACTTACTGTGCCAACTTTTTGGCAACTTCTTCCGATGGAGCAGTAACATAAGCAATGGAATGCAAACCTGCGCTAAAAACCTCCGCCATTCTTGCAAATCCAAAGCGAGGAAACAATAAGTAGTTTGTCAGCATACAGCCAACAATGAAAAAAAAACAATGCTTCCCGGACCTAAAAATCGAAACTTTAATTAGAAATTAAAAACCATTAAAAAGATTTTTATTCTGATTTAAATTTGAACTAAAATATAGGATGAATGGAATCGGGAACTAAATCCGCATAATAATTGTAACAAAAAGTTTTGATAAACCATCATCCAAATTTTAACAGGTTTTGGAGGAAATTATGAATCTGAATAGAATAAATTCAAATTTAAATCTTTTCTTTCTTCTACTTAGCATCTCGTAATTCTTTTTTCAGGACCAGAGTAACCAAAAGGTTCAATGGTCACACCTCTGCTGATGTAATATACATAAATAATGTACCAGTTTGCACAAAAACAATAACCACCTGCATAGGCAATGCAGGTATTCTCACTAAACATACAGATATGACGCAGACTTCACTGACTCTCCAACATTACTTAATAGAATTAGAGAACGCCACCTGAAAGAAGGAAGCGTGGAAGGCCAAAGAAGAAATGGATAGAGGACGTGGAGGAAAGCATGGCAGCCAGAGGGCTTCATGAAGGAGATTGGATGGACAGGGAGCAGTAGCTTTTGGGTGTTGGGGATATGACTCTTTAAGTTGTATAAAACCCAAATAAAAATAATTTTAAACAACAGAAAATAAAACTCAAAAATGAAAAATCTCTACACATCACATTCACTCTCAGACATGAAAATAACCAACCAGTTTATTTACACAATGAACCAATTCAACAGGCACAGTTCATTGCTAAGGACTCGCTTTCAACAGAAGGAGGACCTGGGTCCCACATGAGAAACAAATTCCTAAGCCTTAACAGAAGATCAAAACTACTATATTCAATCCAGAACAAACACTTAAAACTGAAAATCAAGCAACGACTAAATGTTTATAATAAACTCAAAAAACCTAGGCATCACATATTTTTAGGATGAAAAAAAAAAAACATCAAAAAAATACAGAATTTTCAACCAAAAACATTAAGGCAAGTCTTACTTTTATTCTGGTATGTTAGCAAGAAAACATCACAAACAGATAAACACATACAAACTGTTCAAGACAACATTCATTATTCATAAAAATATTGTATGACAAACGGCACAAAGATCAAAACAAACTTCTAAATACTATGGCGACAACAGATATCAGACAACTGAGCCCTCCTGAGGCTGGAAAAGAATCTTGCAAAGAGATATCCTAACATAAAAAATTGTAGAATTCCCATTAGGAGAAGAAGCTGGACATGGTCAAATGATGGATGTGGATATAAAAATAAAATTGTTAAAAAAACTAGATGTTTTTATATTATTATACTTGGTTATTGGAATTGATATAGTTTCGAAGTTTATTAATTGTAGAAGTGTTGCATGAACACTATTTTCTCTTAAAAAATTACACTAATCTCACCAAAAACAATTTATGATTTACAATTCCAATGCAAATTCAATACAATTTTGAGCCTCAAGTTTTCAGAACAATTTTTTTTATATTCTTGACTCCTAAGAAATTTCTACCTCTTTCAAATTATACTTCATATGATGGTCTATCAGATTTCATGAAAAATCATTTTTGGAAGAAATAAAAAAGTTGGATTAGAAAAAAAAAATTAAATTCTCCTAAACTGTTAAAAGTAATGTGATGGTTAATAGACATTTTTTTTTCACAATTAAGGGTGTAGTTCAACCCCAGACATTTCCTGATTTACTGCTTGAATAAATTTGGAAGCCAAGATTTATATAATAAAATAATAATTAAAATTTGAGAAGTTGGTCGAGAGTGCGGTTAATTTAAATACTATATATTATAATAGTATTTTATTGGATAAGCCAACATTCCGATCCGCATTGTAGGTCTTTATCAGGAGTACAACAGATAAAAACTATAAATATAAATTGGTAAAAGGTAAAAAATATAATAAATAAATTATCAGTAGATATTAAACGAATACAAGTTGTCTTACAAAGAAATTGAAGAAGTTATAAGCTGACATCAGTCATGTAGTCAAACCATGGTGACCTCACTTCCGTTCCTCTCAGAGTTAAATCACTGATGCCATTTAATAAGTTCATTAATTTCTTTATCTGACAATTTGTTATCGTTTAATATCTACAGATAATTCATTTATTTTATTTTTTACCTAGTATCAATTTATATTTATAGTTTGTATCTGTTGTAGCCCTGATGAACATACAACCAGGGTCGAAACGTCGAAACGTTCCAATGAAATACTATCATAATATAAAATGTTTAATTTAACCGCACTCCCGACCAACTCTTTCCCAAATTATAATCATGCACACCATTAATGATTAAAATTGCTGAAAATGATAAGAATTTTTGAAAAAAATGGTGATTTTCCACCATTAATGGTTAAAGTTTCATTGTATCATACCATCAGCAGGTATAATCCAACATATTTTATAAATTGAAATAAATTTTAAAACTAGCACACAGGAATCCTTGATTAAAATTTGATAAGACGAAATGTATGTAGAGATGTATTCATATATTTTTTTATTTGAAGTAGAACCAAAGTGCTCAAAGAGCTTAAAAAAATGACATAATGGAAAAACTGAACCTAATATTGGAAATAATAAGTATTTTTTCAATTTATAGCTTTTAAAATCACTCCTTCAGTCAATTAATGAAATTCCATAGTCAAACTAAATCATGATATTTCTAATGTATCAAATTTCTCCAACCAAAAACTCAGATTAAAAAAAAAAGGATTTATGCAATTATACTCTTTAAATGATAGATATATAAAAGTCACTATTATGATATAGTAAATATGATGATTTTAAAGTTTTATGTATGTTTAGGTATAATCTGCATGCTAATAATTGTTAACAATCATAAACTAGAGAATGTCATATTCTTATATGGGGAGAATAAATTAAGAATTACATGTTTGTTCCAAACACTCTAGAAAACCTATAATATAAATATGAATTATATTTTTTTTAAAACTACAGTATTTTAATTGAAATCTAAAAATATATGTATTTTTTTTCTTTAGCTTATACCATATAATACATCCATCATTATATCACATCTGTCATATAATATTAGGAAAAAAGATATATCTTCAATCAAACAATAGCCATTATATCAATCCGTTTAATAGACATCGTACATATTTAAAAAACTGATTTATCTTACCAGTTTGATGGTTAGAATAAACAATTAAAATCCTACAATGCTCAAATAAAAGATTTAATATTACTGAATTAATTGAAAAATTAAATTTCAGGTTACCCGCTGTAAAGTAACAAAGCATGAAAGTCCCACCAAAGAGGTAGAGTGTTTTAAATTTGACAACTTTATACATCGCAGCTCCAGATTGAATGAGAAGATAACTCAAAAATTGTCTAAAAAAAAAAATTATGATGTTTAGATCCCTATTTAATGGAAAAAAGAGTTGATCGTTCATCAACGCGTGTCAGAGGAAACACTGTATTATATTATATTAAACACTGGTGGAACGACTTCTCTCATTCATGTACTTTTTATAATCCGTAAGTGATTTGACTCACTAAAAAAATCCAAAACTTTAATAATTATATGTCTTAAAGTTGCGCTGAATGATAGCAGATGCAGGGGTGCCCATTCCCCACAGGTCAATCGCGCAATAACCTACCTTCTCTCTTCCAAAGATATTTTATTGCTCACTTGTCTTAAAATCAGAGCAAGGGAAAGTAAAATTAGAAAAATCATAGATCCATCATACACAATTACATTAGCTGCGGTCTGTTACATGTTTTACCCTTGTCTCTTGTTCCCCTCAAAAATTTAAAAAGCCTTCCTCAAAAATTTTGATGGCGCAGCTTGCGCCATTAAACTCCCTTCTTGGCACCCCTGTCAGCATGAGTAACATTTACATTTAAATCTGAGCTGATTGGCAAGAGTCTATTTATTTACAAATATATTTCAGTTGATGGAATGTTTCCTATTAAGAAGATAATTAAAAGAAAAGTTATGTAATAAAAGTGCACGGTAGAGCAGTCGAACAAATCCGATTTCTTATAAATTGGATTTAGTGATAAAAATAATGCTAATTCATTTTTCAAATATGCTTATTTTAACAGAAATTACTTCAAGCTAAAAGAGCCCGAAATATAAAATGCACCGACTTATCGTTATCTTATTTTTATTCTTATGTGGCGCTATGCCCCGCGTGGTGACAAGGCCTCTCGCAGCTTAGACCCCAAGTCATCCCTGTGCTTTGCAGTCGCCTTCCAGTTTTGGATCCCAAACATGGATCGGGCATCCGCATCAACGCCATCCATCCATCACAACCTCGGCCTTCCCCTCCTTCTTTTGCCAAATATGTTTTCCATTAGCCGGGGTGCCCAGAAGGGAGTTTAATGGCGTAAGTTGCGCCATCAACATTTTTGATTGGATTTTCGGAATGAAAAGTGTCATACTAAGGGACAAGGGGGGAAAGATGGGTCAGGTCCCTGCAATTGTAACTGTACGATCTGCGATTTTTTTTTTTTTTTTTTTTTTTTTTTTTTTTTTTTTTTTTTTTTTTTTTCCTACCCCCCAGGAATTTCTTGAATAAATTCAGTATGTATATAAATGTATATATACATAAATTTTCAACTTTCCTTTTATTGCCCAAGGGCATTTTAAGTTAAGAGGGCTCTGCACGCTGTATGCGTTCTTTGCATCTGTGGCCAAAGGCCTTTTATTATACCACTGGGCGTGGAGGGACCGCCCTGCATTAACTGCGATTTTTCTAATTCTGCTTTATTGTTAAGAAAAGGTGGGCAATAAAATATATTGGGAGGAGGTAGGTAGGTTTTTGCGCCATCGATCTTGGAGGAAATGTGCACTCCTCTCCATCAGTATGATTTTTTAGATCTGACCCTCTGGCATTCTGATGACCTGTCCAGCTCATCTTTAATAAAGATGACCACATCAGCAACCTCATATATCTCCACTAATTCAGAATTAGTCCGTTGTCTCCAGACTCCACCCACGC